AGATTATATTGTAGAGAATAATCCATTATGATGTCATCTTGCTGTTGAAATTGAATTGAAAGCTTATGTCTTTTGTTGTGGGTGTGGGTTTATATTTAGCTGCTAACCTTCTCTTGCACTAGCATCCACACACACATCCGGATGTTTGAATCTCCGTTGCCCAAAATCCTGGCTTCGCCTCCGGTTCCAATACATTTTGTGTTCCTGATGCATCAAAATTATGTATATAATACTTTTTTTTTAATACCTTTTGTATAATGGTTTCAATTCATATTGGTTTAACAACTTGCCATAAAAAGAAGTTCCATACTCAACAGTAGTTTGATAAGAAAAAAAAATAATAGAAGATAATAAAAGATGGATGGAATTACAATCATGAACTCTATCATAATATGAGACATTCACATAGAAAATGAACTACACCAAATGTTTCATAAAAACATATCAATACGTATTTTATTTATTTTTGCACCAGATTTTTAAAATGCCTAAATAATCACCATATTTATATTACAAATTTTCATTGAAAAACCTGTCAGTTACATTTCTGTTTGACACGATGAAGAGAGAAGCAAAATTATTGCTATATAATTCATGACGATAGGCCTAATTTTCATCATATTTGTCTAAAATGTGAGAGTAGATCTTAGTTATTAAAAAATGAGAAGTGGATATGTGCACTAGGTAGGGGTAATCAATTAACAGTAGCTGCCAAATTCGAGTTCAAATATAAATGGAGATTCAAAAAGTAAAACAACTAAATTAACCCATACTCACTTCACACACCCAAATCCGTTTCCCACACCCACACTCACCTCTCGCGCAAACACTTCCCTCCTACCACACCTCCACACCCATCCTCAACCCCTACTTCCTTACCCACACTTCATCCTCAATTAATTGATTGCCCTACCTAAGTGTATATAGCCACTTTCTAAAAAATGACTGTTTGAGTAGGATAACATCTTATATGTTTCATGATCATAAAATCGCATCTAAAATCATACATTGTTTCGACTCAAGAAACTTTATTCTTTCAAGTTTTAATCGAGTTAAACCATCGAAGTGTTATATTGAAACAACTTATCTTCATCATTATTTCGACAAATTGAGAACAGAATTCTATTAATTTTGCCCCAACTTTTCTTTTTTGATACTCATAGACACGATTTTAGTCATCGAACACTCACGAAAATACTATATCCATAACACTCACATCACGAGAAAGAAAAGTAATCATCATCGGGCATACATCGAAATAGTTTCGATTTTTCTATTAAATCTGAGGAAATAATCGCTAATTTCCAAATTATTAAAACGAAACTCTTGATTGATAAATTTCTTTCAATAAAAAAAAAGTCTCTATTTAACAATTGTCTTTAACACAGCGTGACTTATGATAAGCATCAACATATCGCCGTTTAGAAAATTTATACTTCGAAATCAATATTATTAAATTATATAGTTAAAGAAAAGATGTTATTCTTTAACTCAATGTTTATTGGTTGACACTCATGACGATCATAAAACTGATTGTTGCATGAGTTATGTGTTTGAAAAGAAATATTTCAAGAATTCCTATTAAGTACCTTGGAAATAATATCAACTATTTCAAACCATAATGATTTTGTGCTTTTCAACGATAGAAAGATCCATTCATTACAAACATGTAACACATATTCTTTGCATTCATATTTATTTGATTTAGAAAATCAAGAATTTTTGAAATTGACAAAATGTATTATGCTTCTTTTTTTCTTTTTAATTGTAAAAATTCAGCTGAAGAAAGGATATGTGTGGATTAAGAGAAGACCCACACCCTATTGTAGTGCTATTTATAGCTCATTTCTTATATTTTCATTGAAAAATCTAAAAGATTGACAATGTCTGATTTACAAATCGCAGTGGATAAATATTCAAAAGACGATGACAAAGGTTTTTGGAACAACTTTCTTGAAATTACAAACACAAGATAAGATCCATTGTCAAATTCTACATCTCGTTATCTAAATTTCAAAATTTTGAAAAACGAATGAACAAGAAAATATTCATGTGAATTAAAGAAAGTCAGAATACAGAACAAAATCACTTTTCTTACATAGTGCTGACATCGATGTCTGTTAGATTTCAATTCTGTTTTTAAAGATGGATAAATAAATTTTTGCACAACCGGATTCGAGTTTTGGAAAATTTGATTTCACATAAGCATTATCATCTGCTAGCTCGAAGTCTATTTCTTATAAATCGTAACAGAAAAAATTTACATTGATTCATGTCAAATATTTTACTTTGATTAGCGAATTTTATCCAGCAAAGACTTTGAAAAATCGATAGATATCCTGAAAAAGCAGAAAAGTGCAACTTGAAGATTGGTTATGTTTTAAACTTATAAATCTTTTAATAAAAAAAATATTTTTAAACAGCAAAACCATTACTTTCTAAAGATTTCAATTTTCTATCAATAGAAAAAATAATAATAGTATATTATCAAAAAATTGATACGTTTATTTATGAATATAGTCACCTAAAAATATCTTTATAAATAAATTTTACTCAAAACATATTATATTATTGAAAGACAAAATTTTATTGTATGCAAAACAATTGTTAAATGAATGTATGTCTTCAAATATTGTTTAGTAAGTAAAAGAAGAAAATTTATTTTTTTAATAACAAAAAATAAATATTATAACATGTGATTTAAATTATTTTCAAGAATTATTCTTGAAATCAGTTAGTGTTTCTCGAAAAATTATCTATAGAACATTAATTAATTCTTACTATTGACAAAAAAAATCATTTTCAAGCGCATGCATCAGTATTTTTTTGTAGGATTCAACAAGAAGAATTTTAATTCGTTTCAAATAAAATGAAGTTTTTATTAATTGAACATATGAATTTTTAATCGTTTTTCTTTCGAGTATTATGATGTTACTATGATTCAATTTTTGAAATTTGATATTTTTTATTTCATATAGGATAATAATGTAAATCATTAATCGAAGAGTACTATTATCTACTAGAATTTTCAAATACTTTTTTTATATTATAATATAAGAAAATCATAATGATAGATTAGTGTACTGTAAGAGAAAACTTAGAAATAATCAGACAAAATAAAGAAATTTTTCATGTGTTAGAGAACATCTGAAGATTTTCTTTGATATTTTTGTTTCTAATAAGTAGAGTTTAATATTTTGTGATTATTTCTTCCATTGGATTTATATTAATGTAATTAAAAGGTGGATCCATTTTTCTTTGTGATTTTATTCGTACGAATAAGAAAATTCTATTTTTACGTTTGTAATACATTTCAAAATCGAAATCATAGTTTAATGAAATAGATATATAGTTGTTCAAGTAACAAATTGACTGCATGCATGTATAATAGGATGGAATTGGTGAGTGTGGGTGTTTCTTGGAGTTTGAGACTTTTCTTCACATCTATACCCATCCTTAAGAATTGCTGTTTGCTATTTTTCAGTAGTCTTGGCATATTCAGTCCCACAAATGGCGAACTAGTCAAAGAGTGAGACCCAATGACTTCTGGACTTCAAAGGACACCATCCCAGCACCACATGCAGTAGCCTACTCGTTGAAAGTGCACGAACACTCCTCTTTAAGAGAGGCTAATAAAATAAATCTGTTTATACCGATATATAAAACTCATCGAGTTGTACTCGTAACATCAATAGGAACGTTGAAGAAGGTTTTTGGACGAATCATCTGTGATTTTACTCAAATCAATTGCTAACTTTATCTATGTCTAGAAGATTTGAGATATCTACGTTCAAATTTTGTAAAGATGATGCTTTTAGCCTTCGGTTTTAGAGCGATAAAGTATTTTACGTTCTTCACAATGTTGGAAATTACAGCTCTCTAGCTTATTAGATTCTCCATTTGCGTTAAAAAAATGATCACGGCATTATGTTATTGAACACACAAAACTTACGTCACTAATTAGTAATATTGATACTAGAACACAAAGAAAATAATGATTAATGTTATTAGCTGAAAATAATTGTATAATAATCATATAATTCAGGACAATATCATATTATACTCTACTCGTCTTTCATTTGCTAGAACACAGAACAAAGAAAAAAAATTTCAACTGAAAAATCGAGAACGATTGCTGTAGAACGACCTCTACCCACCGAATCCAAAGAAGAAAGAAAACCAATAGATATTTGATGACTCTTACGTTGTGCAATTACCGAAAAAATGCGTGTAATTGAGAAATATCCGTGCGTCATGATGTCTTTCGTAAAATTCCCATAGTCGGCGTGCGGCTGTAAAGGTATAAAAGCTGTATTTTTGTGTTTCTTTCAGTCATTTTTTATATTATCGCAGAGAAGAGAGATGGTTTATTTCAACTCTCAAATATGCGACTCAACCGTACCGTATCGAAATGTACGTCGTATTCAATTCGGAATTTTATCTCCGGATGAAATCCGACGAATGTCGGTGACGAATCCACCAATTGAACATTCAGAACTGCTTGAAGCGGGAAAACCGAAAAAACAAGGTTTAATGGACCCACGACAGGGTCCAGCTGATCGAAACTTGAAATGCGATACTTGTCGCGGTTCTTACATAGAGTGTCCAGGACATTTTGGTCACATCGAATGTTAGTATTTTGTTATTTTTTAGAGTTAATTGATCAGATAAAGGCTATGTCTCTCTCATAGTGATCAAGCCAGTTTATCATATTGCTTTTCTACCAAAAATATTGAAAGTTTTGCGATGTGTTTGTTTTCATTGTTCGAAATTGTTGGTTGATCCAAATGATCCAAAGATCATCGATATTATTGAAAAAACCAAAAATCAAAGTCGTCAACGTCTTGCATACATAGTTGATGCATGTAGAAATGAAAAGATTTGCAAAGGTTTGAGTTCATTGCAAGATTCTGTTTGAGAGAGCTTTGTTTTTTTTTCAAGGAAGTGATATTCACAATGACGTGACAACAAAATATTCAGATGGTTGTGGTAGAGCACAACCAGTCTATCGTAGATCAGGTCTCGAATTGACAATTCAATGGAAGAAAGCAACAGATGAAAATCAAGAACCTAAGTCAAAATTACCAGCTGCACGCGTTCTTGAGATTTTTAAAGCTATTCCGAATTCGATATGTAAAATTCTTGGTATGGATCCTCGTCAATCACGACCTGATTGGATGATCCTTACTGTTTTACCAGTTCCACCTTTGTCTGTACGTCCATCGGTATTAATGTTTGGTACAGCTCGTTGTCAAGATGATTTGACATATAATTTAGCAAATATAATTAAAGCAAATAAAATGTTAGGTGAATATGAACAACGTGGTGTAAGTTCGCATATTATTGATAAACAATTGGACCAACTTCAATATTATTGTGCGACATTGATTGATAATGATATGCCCGGTATGCCACAAGCATGTCAAAAAAGTGGCAAACCATTGAAATCTCTTAAAGCTCGATTGAAAGGTGTGACATTTCTATTTTTTTTTTTTCGTAATCGATACATTGTTGTTGTTGTTGTTGTTGTTCTTAGGAAAAGAAGGCCGACTTCGTGGAAATCTAATGGGCAAACGAGTAGATTTCAGTGCTCGATCAGTAAGTATCGGTTAAAATTTGTTGTATAGAAAAAAACAAAGAAAATAAATATGAAATATCGATTAGGTAATAACACCAGATCCAAATCTAGCCATTGATCAAGTTGGTGTTCCACGAACAATTGCACAGAATATGACTGTTCCAGAAATTGTTACTCCATTCAATATAGTATGGTTACAAGAATTAATCCGATGTAATGCAGCAAAATATATCATTTTGGATAATGGTGATCGAATTGATCTTCGTTTTCATCGAAAAGCATCAGATATTCAATTACAATATGGCTATATCGTTGAACGAAACATGATTGATAATGATCTTATTGTGTTTAATCGTCAACCAACACTACATAAAATGTCAATGATGGCTCATCGTGTTAAAATTCTTCCATGGTCAACATTTCGACTAAATTTATCTGTAACAACACCATACAATGCTGATTTTGATGGTGATGAAATGAATCTGCATTTACCACAATCAATAGAAGCCAAAGCAGAATTATCTGAATTAATGATGGTTCCACGTCTTCTCATAACTCCACAATCAAATCGACCAGTCATGGGTATTGTACAAGATACATTAACAGCAGTAACAAAAATGACACGTCGTGATGTTTTTCTTGATAAAAATGAATTTATGAATCTTTTAATGCAATTGCCATCATGGAATGGTGATGTTCCAAAACCAGCTATTTTCAAGCCAAAACCATTATGGACAGGAAAACAATTATTTTCATTAATTCTTCCGAAAGAAGTTAATTGTGTTCGAACACATGCAACACATCCTGATAAAGAAGATGACGGACCTTTTAAATGGATTTCACCGGGCGACACAAAAGTATTAGTAGAAAATGGTCAATTACTTTCTGGTATTTTATGTACGCGAACATTGGGTGCAAGTCCTGGTTCATTAGGACATGTCGTTTTCGCTGAATGTGGACATGAAAAAGCGGGAAAATTTTATTATTATATTCAATTAGTTGTCAATAATTGGCTACTGATTGAAGGACATTCAATTGGTAAGAATTTTGATGATAAAAAACAACGAGAAAATACGAATCGATTTGTTTTCTTTTTTAAGGTATTAGTGATACTATTGCCGATGAAAATACTTATAGAAGTATTCAAAAAGCAATTCAACAGTCGAAATTAGAAGTACAAAATGAGATTGAAAAATCTCATCGTGATAAATTAGAGAGTGAACCAGGCAGCTCACTTCGACAAACATTCGAAAATAAAGTCAATAGACATTTGAATGATGCTCGAAAACTGACTGGAGCATCAGCTCAAGATTCTCTATCATATTTCAATCAATTAAAAGCAATGGTCGTGAGTGGTGCAAAAGGTTCACTACTTAATATTTCACAAATTCTTGCTTGTGTCGGTCAACAGAACGTTGAAGGTATGTCAAATTTTACTTTTGATTTAACCTTATATTTTATTATTTGAATAGGAAAACGAATTCCGTTCGGATTTAAACATCGTACGTTGCCACATTTTATTAAAGATGATTATGGTCCAGAAGCAAAAGGATTTGTAGAAAATTCGTATTTAAAAGGTCTTAATCCAACGGAATTTTTCTTTCATGCCATGGCTGGTCGAGAAGGTCTCATTGATACAGCTGTTAAAACAGCTGAAACTGGATATATTCAACGTCGTTTGGTTAAGGTTTGTTTTTTTTTTATTCTCTTTTCATTTTAATCTTTATATATATATATATATATATATATTTGAATTAGGCGATGGAATCAGTTATGGTCAAATATGATGGTACAGTTCGTAATCAAAAAGAACAATTAATTCAATTTACTTATGGTGAAGATGGATTAGCAGCCGAAAATGTTGAATTTCAATCGATTATTTCATTAAAACCATCCCATGTTGCATTTGAAAATTTATGTAAATTTAATTTTTCAGCTGATGAAAAGTATTTACAACAATATTTAAACGATAATGTTATTCATAATCTTTTCACAAATGAAAATTCATTAGAAATATTAAATGATGAATGGTATCAATTATGTGAAGATCGAAATCGTCTTCGTGAAATATTTTTGAATGCTAACGAAAGTCGAATAGTTCTACCGTGTAATATTGAACGATTAATTGTAAATGCTCAGAAAACCTTTAAAATATCCGATAAAACTCGATCGAATCTTTCTCCAATAGACGTTATTCAAGGTTTAGATGAATTAATTAGACGATTACTCATTATCAAAGGTAATGATCGTCTTTCTCAAGAAGCTCAACATAATGCAACTATGTTAATGAGTATTCTTATTCGTTCATCACTTTGTTCACGACAAGTTCTTCAAGTTCATCATCTAACTGCAGATGCATTCAATTGGTTATGTGGAGAAATTGAAACACGTTTTCAACAAGCTCAAGTTCAACCAGGTGAAATGGTTGGTGTACTTGCTGCACAGTCAATTGGTGAACCAGCTACACAAATGACATTGAATACATTTCATTATGCTGGTGTATCAGCTAAGAATGTTACACTTGGTGTACCTCGTCTTAAAGAAATTATTAATCTTTCGAAAACTCCAAAAACACCATCAATGACTGTTTTCCTTACTGATGAAACAGCGAATGATGACAGGAAATGTAAACAAGTCTTGTCTCATCTTGAACATTGTTCATTAGGAAAAGTGACAACTAATACAAGTATATATTACGATCCGAATCCACAGGACACAATCATTGAAGAAGATCAGCAATGGGTTAGTATTTATTATGAAATGCCGGATGAGAATATTTCAAAAGTTTCTCCATGGTTATTACGTATTGAACTCGATCAAAATAAAATTATTGATAAAGATTTGACAATGGAACAAATATATGAGAAGATTTCAGAAAAATTCGGTGAAGATCTTAGTGTCATTTTCACTGATGATAATGCAGAAAAACATGTTCTACGTATTAGAATTTTGGATCAGCTCAAATCAAAAATTGACAATGATGAAACACTCGAAGATGACACACGTAAAATGGATGATGACGTTTTGTTACGACATATCGAAGACATTTTGCTGTCCACTTCAACATTGAAAGGTTAAATAAACTATTTTTTATCGTTTCTTTCTTCTATTATATTTTTCTCATTAGGAATTAAATCGATTTCGAAAGTGTACATCGTTGATCCAAAAGCAAGTAATCAATATAATTCGAAAAAACGATTTGCTATTAATGAAAAAGGCACGATCGAACAAGTAGCCGAACATTTCTTGTTGACTGATGGAACATCACTTAGAGAAGTTCTCTCAATGAAAAATGTTGATCATCATCGAACATATACAAATGACATTATTGAAACCTTCGAAGTATTTGGTATTGAGGGTGCACGGAAAGCTATTGAATATGAAATGAATCATGTTATTTCATTTGATGGATCCTATGTTAATAATCGTCATTTGGCTTTATTATGCGATGTAATGACAGCAAAAGGACATCTTATGTCTATAACTCGACATGGAATTAATCGACAAGATCTTAGTCCATTAATGAAATGTTCATTTGAAGAAACAGTCGATATTTTAATAGAAGCAGCAGCTCATTCCGAATACGATCCATTGAGAGGTGTTTCGGAAAGTATTCTACTTGGTCAATTGGCCAAAATTGGCACAGGTGCTTTTGAAGTTATGTTGGATGTTGAAAAATGTGCTTCGGCTATGGAATTACCAACGGTGAATATTAGTTGTTTTCCAGGGATTATGTCCTCAGATGCTATGGAAGAATATGACGAACAACATTTAACTAGATCAACACCTTGGATTATATCGATGCCAACTAGCCCATCATACGAATCTTATTATCCACCAGGAGCAACTCCAATGCCATCGATGGACTCTGGAAGCTTTTCACCTAACTATTCGATATCTTCATCAGGTTATATATCACCATTGTCATCTACAAATCCTTCTTTGTACAATATCCAATCACCACTAACGACGGATGTACGATTGCCAATATACTTACCTAGCCCACCGTATAATAGCTCAAGTGTAGGCCGCTATGAATTGAACTCAACTCCTTATAGGTATTTGTCTTTATTTTATTTGTTTTTTCATCATTTTGATTGATTATTGAATAGCCCAACAAGTCCATCGTACAGTCCAGTAACCAGGCCTAATTTTTCAGATGCTGCTAGACAGCAAGGACCAACATCACCCTTCTATTCACCGACTAGTCCTTACAGTAAGCTCCTTTTTTACATTGAAAATCTTTTGGAAATATTGTGCTCATTAGGTCAAACTTATCCATCATTTTCATCGAATCAAATTTATTCGCCAACTTCATCAATTTCTTCAGTAAAAAGTCCATTCTCGAACAATTTAAATAATCAAATCTCATCGAAATACACTTCGAAAAAGTTAGTTTTATTTTACAATTATCGTTGTTTTTTATTATTAATGTGTTTAGTCTGAGTTATTCTCCAACATCGCCAGCGATTCCACGTAAGACACATATTATCTCTGTTATTTTACTCAACATAACTCTTGTCTCATACTTAGGCTACTCTCCATCATCACCGAACTATTCCTCTCAAAGTCCAGTATACTCTCCATTAAGTCGCTCTTATAGTAAATGTCATATTCTTTTCTATTGATTGTTATTTTTCATGAAATCTATTTTTCTTCGAAGGTCCTACATCACCAGCATATTCAAGTGGAGTATCATCACCGAACTACTCACCTCAAAGTTCAATGTATTCCCCATCAAGTCCTTCTTACAGTAAATGTTATATTCGTTACTATTAATTGTTGTATGTCATGGAATTCTTCTTTTTTCGTTGAAGGTCCACTATCACCAATGTTTTCAGCACATGATCATGGCAGAAGTAATACATCATCGAACTATTCACCAACGACACCACAATATAAGTACTTAGATAATTTCTTTTGTAATCTTTAAAGAAAACCTTTTCTCATGTTTCTAGTCCAAGCTCACCAGTGTATTCTCCATCTCAATTATCATCTCCCTCTAGGTTAGTTTTTATACTTTTGCATGTTGAACAATAACTAAGATTGGTTTTTCTTCTAGTCCAATATCACAAGTAGATCAACCCGATGTGGTATCACCTGATGATAGGTATTTTTTTTTCGAGGTTTTTATTTAATTTAAATGAATGTTCAATCTTTTTTTTAGTTCTTCATCATGTCAATCGGAAGATAATTCTCAACAAAGTGATTCAAACGACGATAACAATTTGATGGCCTAGATGTTTTTTTCTGCTTTTGTACATATTTTATAGTTTTTTTCTACTAAAAAAAGAAATGTTGCTAACTGAGAATAATACTCAATAAAAGTTGAAAACAACTTTATATCAATTTCAAAAGATGTTTGTTTTTTGAACAACAGTGTGACAATCAGTTTTCATATTACTTTAAAGAGAAAAAAATCAGTCTTTACTTGGTTTCTTTACAATGATAAAACTAAACGAATCTTCAACAGTTTGAGTTAATCATGAGGGTGTGGGTATCGGTAAGAATGTTGTTCCTCAGATTTGCCAGAAACACACTTTCACGCACACCGCACATACCCAGATTCAAAAAGAAGGAAAGATAGCTGATCTCGTAAGATTGTATATGATTTATTTTCTGAGCGCTAAAAAGCCGAACATATTCAATGACTGGTTCGTCCTGATTAATCATTTAACTGGTTGAATATTGATTAAATGGGATTCTTTTTTCTAAATATTTCCGATTCTTTATTATCTGCATTTTATTGCAGTTCTTTTGAGAAATAATGTTTACTTCAATCATGATTTCATTCATACTACATTAAACCATAAAGAGTTTTTCATCATAGATTTACTTCTTATAGAGCTGCGTAACGATAAATAATTATAGGGTGGATCGGTATGAGTGATAATTTTTTTATCGATCAAATGCAGACCCAGACTGAAACCGATCAATGAACCTAACACAAAAGTATATGCGAAAGTCGAATTGATGGCCGTGACCTTGGCCTCCAAGAGAGATAATTGTAATAATGATGTCAGTGAATCGAAAACTCGACTTTGAATAAAAAAAGAAAGCAAATGCTTTTGATAAAGGCGTTTCTTAGAACATATCGATGAGTATGAAAAAAGTATACGAATGTGCCATCTTCTCAGATCGGATGCCGACGGAAGGTAAGAAAAAAGATACATATAATCATGATTCTTTGCTCACGGATCATTGATGAGAATGATGTTTGATGTGGGTTTATGTGGCAAAGAGATCATTAACTACACGTACTCTTGGCTTGGCGTCATGAAAGATAAAAAAGCAAACAAAATTTATCTTAGATCTGATATAGTTTGTTGCGTATAAGATACTAATTTTATTAACTTTAATTAGTATGTGTCTACCCCTATGTAGACATAACGTATCTATTTATACATGTAGGATGTTAGAGAAGAAGTGAAATATGTACATAGATAGCATAAAACAGTTGAGAAAATATTTGATTTACAATATAAAAGTATAAAAGACAGTAAAGGGAGAAACCAAGATAACGAAATAAGGAAATTATCTGAGAGAACGAAGGAAAATAGCCACGTACTTAAGGGTAACCGAAATTTCTAATAACATGAAATAAAAATATAAAAATAAAGAGATATTTCAATTTAATTTTATCAAATATAAAAAATAGTTTGTACTATTATTGATGGAAAGTTCGATCATTTCTAATGGTTTAGTATAAGCATTTGCAAAACATTTTTCTAAAATATTTTTACTTCTCTTGGAAACCGATAGGGCTAATCATGTTTCGTTTATTTGACTAGCATAACTATGCATCATATAATAAATTACCTCAAAATACAATAGCATAAGGTCGAGTTTATATATCAGATATAACATTATATTGATATGTCTTTCTATTAGATGATAAATAACATTAGAATGATTTTGAGTTTAACTATTATCGACGAGCAGATTTATATTTTGTTGGACTTGATGATTCTCGTCATTTCCATATCTGATTATCTAAAACCTTCAAGCAGTTTTCGGTATAAGAATAGCTGCGTATAGTCTTCTCCTTATCTATTCTATTCATAAGAAGAGTATTATCTTATTTAAACAATATACAAATCAAAGATTTAATTCAAAACTATCTTCATGAAAACTATTATTTAATCAAATCGCTGTACTAATCCGGACAGTGCAAAGCGATTAGATACGAACTTGTCTACAAAAAAATCATATCTGATTAATAGTATAATTCAAGGCAAATGATATAATCTATCAGAAAATTTCGCAAGATATTAAGATAAATGAAATATGTTTCGTTCATCTGGTTTCCAAGAGGAGTAAAAATATTTTAGAAAAATGCTTCGCAAGTGCTTATAACAAACTATTAGAAATGATCGAGCTTCGTATAAGTTATAGTACCAATCATCTTTAGCATTTGATAAAATTAAATTGAAATATCTCTTTATTTTTATATGTTTATTTCATATTATCAGAACTTTTGGTTATCCATCAGTACAATTTACAATATATATATGCACACAAAAAACTAACCGAATATCAATAATACTTTTAACACATATGTCTGATGACAAGTCCTCTGTATGCATCATAACGATTTATTCGCCTTGATGTGCATACTCATGAAACTGATTAAACGTTGAGAAAGTTGTGATTCATAAGACAGTTCTGTCGAAATAATCAAGCGAGCTCAGCGACATTAAGTAGAGGCTTGTGACAGCTATCTCTCATTGCTTTATTCATATCTGCACCGCATTCAATCATAAAACGAACAAAATATTGATTTACTGCCCTTGAATATAGAGAAAAAATTCAAGATGACAAATGAATTCGACAGCTATCTATAAAGTGTCATAAAAATTTCCTTCTAATTAAAGAAATATTTGATTGGAAGACAAAAATTACAATGATAATTTTCTTTCTTTTATTTTTTTGTGCTCGACACAATAAGTGAAATGATCAATGTAATAATCGGAAAAAATGTCTTAGACATTTGAACTTTCTCATCAGTCTTTAAGATTGAGAAACTACTTATCGAATGGTGGATTAAAAGTGAAGCCGCTCGTCAAGACGACATAATGGATGACATTCGTAGAGCTATAATCTGTTGTGGAATCATGACGCAATATTTGCCGCACAAGACAAACAAGTATGTGCTTTTCGTCTTTCGTAATCATGTTGTCCTACATGAGCTAAAATAAATAAGAAAAGAAAAAGAATTATTTTTTTTTTGATGATCTACGAATAAGATTCACGTGTTAAATCACTTTTTTCATTTACTCTAGTGATTCTTGTTCATCCAGTATTTATGGATTTATTCTCGCCATCTGCACTGAGTCAAGTGTTTAATCGAATATTACAGAAAGTTCTCAAGATTTAGTTGAAAATTAATTTAAATGAAAAAAGTACTTGTTGCATAAAGTTTCACGATAAAAAGATGAGCTGAAAAATAGTTTGATCTTGTTTCTGAGAAGGCATACTTAATTCATGAAATATTCAAATATGAGATCTAATCGAAATCGAAAAGATATTTGCTGTCGCATTTTTTGTTTGTTTCTACAATTGTAACGAAAGCCATACATTATCATGATTATGTCGATTAATGACTATGCTGATCGTTAAACGATACTCAAAAATAGATTTTCAAAATATCAACTATTTTAATGTTTTTTCAAAAAATGTTGAAAATTCAGCAAAACTATGCCGAGCATCTAATTATTGGAGTAGAAAAATATGAAACATGGAGTGATCAAGTTTCTCGATGTCTCTCGCATTCATTGCGATCATGCTTATTTGTAAACTGGAATTGAATTTAATTCTGACATACTCTGTGGTCAAAATAAAGCTTGTGGTAAAAATCGACGTACGTAGAATATATAAGCGCATATACTAGTAATCTCTTTAGTATCGTGTAACTTGTCGAAGATCCATTCAAATATATGTAAATTTTTTTTTAATCGATGTAATATCATCATTGTAGATCATTCGAAAGATTATCTTTTGTAATTTTGATAATCATTTATCATCCATATGCTGTATTAAGTTTTCCTTGCATGATAAACTCAAATTGTAAGCATGTATCAATATTTGTATATATTGACTCAACTGAACTCTGTCTATATAGAATTGAAACAAGAATATGTGTCTCGTCACGTTGTGAAAATAGTCTTTCATAAACAAATAGTGCTTGCATCGGATGTTTTGACATTCATGTCGAAATCCGTAGGCTTCACATGGGATAGAGTTTGAAACTTTGAGTTTTAAGTGTGATGCTTCCAGAAAACAATCGAATTTTTCTTTCGTTGAATTGGGTAGAAATCTATTTGAAGTTTGATAATAGCCAACTAATAACATGATCTCATCGATGTATTGTTGGCGTGGTAGAGTGTTGAATAGAAGATCCACAATATCTATTTAGTCATAATTAGCTGCTTCCATCAATGGAGTGAAATTATTTTCGTTTCTTTGATCATACGTAAATCCATATTGAAGTATTGTCCTGACACATTCCAGATTTTCCAAAGAAATAGCAATATGCAAGGCAATTTGTCCGTCATCATCAAGTAAAGTTGGATCACCACCATACTCTAAAATAGTTTTGATGATTGGGAATCCTTCATCGATATGAGCAAGAGCATAGTGTAGCGGGAAGACTGTTTCGGACATTGGATACCAATAGCAATCTAAACAAAAAAAGATGACATACACATTATTATAGGTAGTCTTAACGTGTGTGGATTAAATTATCCTTATCATGTTGTCTAATCAAACATTGATATATTCATAGGAAAATTTCAGTTGATGAATGTAAATCAATTAAGAAACGTGCTCATCTTGCATAAGATTCTTTAAGATGTTTACCCTACTTTAGAAAAGATTATTTTCGGATCAATCGAGGTAGACACAGCATTCATTTGAGTACTCTTACTTACTCATAGAGTCCTCTTCTTCTTCATCGATAAGGCGAGCGTTTAGGTCACATCCTTTGTTTAATAAATACTCTACAATTTCATTGCTGTGAATTCTGATAGCTTGGAAAAGATCGCGACTTTCATCGATGATTGCTTCTGTTTCTTCCAACAAATACTTGACAACATGCATATGTTTTCTTGAAATATAGCAGCTCAAAGAGATGTGCAATATTTTGCTTCAGAAATATTCACATCGGCATGTCCTATTTCGATTAGAGTACGTACAACATTAAGATGTCCATTATACATGCAAATCATAGTGCAGTTTTACCAAAGCAAATATAAATGAAATAATCTCTAGTTAATACATCATTTTTGTTATATTGAAAAATTCTATGATTGAAACAATGCTTTAATGATGGATCATAGCTGAAGCAGTTTCATCGATTGCAATCTCGATGCCATATACACACATAACATAATATCAGTAAAAAAAAACAAAATAGATTCATATCTTGGGAGAAAGTGAAAGCTCTTCGATATGTTTCCCATGCAACAAGAAAAACAGCCTAAATAATATAAACGCTTTGATCATGCTCGAGCTATGCATGTTCGAATTATTGTCCATTTAAAAAATGATGTAGTCGATTATTTTTTGAATAACTTTGGATAGGAGAATCATAGAGATCTGCGGTTTTCACCATTCGAAAAAGAAGAGTTTTTTTTTCTATCTATTGATTTTTCTAAAAGTCAAAAACAGTTTCGAACTATTGTTTCCAAAATCTCTATAAATAATTCACTAGATTGATCAATTACTATAACCAGTTACGTTTCAATATACTCTGAAAGCTCCAAGTCTTTTGTTTCGAATAGTGAATAAAGCAGATCTCTATGATGTTCCTATCAAAAGTGATTCAAAAGACAGTGGAAGCCATTATTTTTTGAAATGGACAATAGTGTATATACTGCAGATTTTGGGTTTTAATGTATCCAACTGATCTTGCTGTAGATGTCAATCGGTAGAATGATGGCGTTATCGATCTAACATAGTCAGAACAATATATGCATAAAAAAGTATGAATTCATTTAATTCTATTTTTATAGACAACTGAAGAGTATATACCAAAGTTCGTTGCGATGAAGATTTGTATTCGGGATAACTTAACTGGTGCAACAAAGAAATTAATGATAAAATTTCAGGGCGTGCGGATCAACTATAAAGATTGTTATAATTTTGATTTAGATGTTTATTTGACATTTATTTTAAATAAAATACTTTAGCCTCTACGATAATACCATGAATTTATAACAATTAGAGTTCATGAGCTCCTCATTTTGACCTCTCAATGAACTGCGACAGACAAGTTGTATTTTTCAATACCAACAAGAAAAACATTTTCATATCATAAATAATGTTAGTTATCGAATCAAATCGTCCAATTAATTGATGAACTATTCATGTTAGTGTAAATCAAAAAATGTTTCAATTTTTACATCATAATAAAATTGCGTATGAGCAATTTCCTCTAAAATATTATTTGCTGGATTGTTTTAATAAATAATAACCATTACGAAAAAAAAACATATTAAAAGAACCAATCAAACCTAGTCACAACCACACATAGAAAAAATGACTTTGTCTTCAAAACTATAAGTAATGACGAAAACTTTAGTATTGCTATCAAATATTTATTTGGAATATCTTCAAAACTTCATTTAGATGTACTTCCAATATAGTGCGTGTAGTCTTGAAACAATCCCATATCATACATGTGCGAACTGTAATTAGTTCGATGAGATTCATTCGAAAAAGTATCGCACATAGCAACTGTTTTTGATCTAGCTAAAAACTAACTTGATTTTATTTCTAAATTATTGCTGAATAAAGGATGCATTATAAATGAGTTACTCATTCGTTAGAAAAACAATAAATGCTATAGTCCATTATATTTTTCGTCAAGATATTTCAATCAACACGTTACTCTCATTATAATGATGTTTAATCGAAAAAAAAAAGTATGCTTAAAAGATCAATCTGATGAATCGAATTCTTCCGATAGTCGTTCAATATTTGATTCTATCTTTTGTAGATTATGATGTTCGGGAGGTAAACACTTCATGTAGATAACCAATGCTTGTTTATAGTAATTAAGTGCCAACTTATGTTTATGAAGACTTTCGTAAATGTTACCTAGTTCTGATAAACTATTGCCAATGTCTTCATGATCCGGCGGTAGAGTTTTGAGACGCATTAACAAACAATTCTGTTCATATATAAGAGAGAATTGATGATTGCCTCTTGTACTTTGTATAAATGAGAAAGACGAAAGAATGATAGCAATGGAGAGATCTTTTGGATATACACTGGCTTCTGTAATCAACAAACATCTTTCTAAATATTGAATAGCCTGATCGAACTGGGACATTCGATAGAGATTACCAACGATCCAAGATATGCAATTAGCTATTTCATTATAATTAGTGGGATAGTATTCTTCGAATATAACCAATGCTTGTTGATAAAAATCGAGAGATTCATCATATTTTGTTTGATCATAGAGAGTATTACCGATGTCCTTGAGAATGCTTGCTATTTTCGATTGATCAATAGGAGCGTTACTTCTCAGAACTGCCAATGCTTTTATTCGAAAATTAAGAGCTTCATTATATTTGCTTAGTTTACATAGGACTTCGACAATGTTGTTAAGAACAGTAGCAATACCAGCATCACCCAACGGATTGATTTTCTCTCGAATAGCTAATGATCGTTGATAGAAATCAAAAGCTTCATCATATTTCTCTTGGCTATATAAGATATTACCAATATAATTGAGACTCTGCGCGATATCGATGTGAGGAAATTGATAATGTTTTTCTTGGATAGCCAAGGTATTTCGATAAACTTGAAGAGCTTCATCGTATTTCTTTTGATCATATAGAATGTTAGCAATCAAGCGGAAAGTATAAGAAGTTTCAATGCGACCAATAGGATAGAATTTTTCTTGAATCGATAGTGCTCGTTGACAATAGTCAATCGCTTCATTATATTTATTTTCATTATATAGAACATGAGCAATACTATTGAGGGTATCAGCTATGATAGCATGGTTTGATGGATAATATTTCTCTTGAATTTCTAATGCTTTTTTATGGTATTCAATCGCTTTATCAAATGTGTGTTGTTCACGAAACGTTGTGCCAATATTAATGAGGGTTGTCGCAATATCAACATGGCCACATGGATAATAGCTCTTTTGCATTTCGAGTGCATGTTGATAATATTGTAAGGCTTCATCGTATTTTTTCTGTTCAATGAGAATATTACCGATATAATTGAGATTGTCAGCAATCTTATGTTGACACGATGGACAATATTTTTCTTGTATATCGAGTGCTTTTCGATGATAATCAAGAGCTTCATCATATTTCTCGCGTGCGCCCAACATAATGCCAATGTTGTTTATAAAAGCAGCAATGGACGAATGATCATGTGGATTGTATTTTTCGATAGTTGCAAGTGCTTTTTTCTGCATATCAATAGCTTCATCGCACTTGCCTTGTTTATATAGGATGTTGCTAATACTGTTGAGACTCGAAGCCATTGAGGCATGGCCGAAAGGATAAAAGCTCTCTTGCATCGTTAGTGCTCGTTGACAATAGCATAGACCTTCATCACATTTCGACTGACGAAGTAGTATATCAGAAATGTAATTCAAAGTGTTAGCGATATTAGCATAATAAGATGGATAATATTTTTCTTGCATTTCCAATGCTTGTCGATGAAAATCAAGAGCCTCATCATGATTTCCTTGAACGTTTTTTACATAGCCAATATTATTTAGTGTACAAATAATCTCATCATGACCAGGAAAAAAATATTTCTGTAGAATTTTCAACGCTTTTTCATAATATACTAGAATTTCATGATATTTTCCTTGTCCATAGTGAACATGTCCTATTCCCGAAAGACTATCAGCTATATCGATATGACTATATGCATAATACTTTCGTTGCATTGTCAATGCTCGTTCAAAAGATTTCAGAGCTTCATCATGCTTGCCTTCAAGATAGAGAATGTAAGCAATACTGTTGAGAGTGGAAGTAATGTAAACATGATCATTTGGATAATATCTTGTATAGATTGACATTGCTCGTTGCAAGACTTCGAAGGCTTTATCATAGTTGTTTTGATGTGTAAAAACCTGACCAATGTGATAAAGACTAATAGCGATATCGACATGAGGAGATTGATAATATTCTTCGAGCATTGTCAGTGCTTGCTGATGAAAGATAAGTGCTTCATCATATTTTTCTTTTCGATCGCAAATCTTGCCAGAACTGTGGAGAATATTAGCAATAAAGACATAATCATCCAAGTGAATCTCACTCATTTGTAATTTGTCAGCTTCTTTTATGTGTTGACATATTTCTAACAAACGTCTTTCGATTGATTTTTCGTCGACATGTTTCGTTTTGTCTGCCGTATTATATTTCGAGAGGATTCGGCGGGGAATTCCTTGTAATTTTTTACTTCGAAATGATTGAAAACGCGATTGAAAGAATCCAGATAAAGTCAGTAAAATTGGTGTGAAAGAGGCGCGAATATGACTGGATACACTATTACCATGATGTGTCATTGGACGAGATCTATTGATATTAGAAGACAAGTAATTTTCATTTCTCAGTGCAACTGCTCGTTCATAATAATCGAGAGCTTCATTGTGTTTTCCTTCTACACAGAGAATCTCACCAATATCAAAGAGTATATGAGCTACATATTTGGTTCGTGTTGGTTTATCCTTGATTATTCGATCATATGCACGATCATAATATTTCCGTGCTTGATTCCATTCTCCTTTCCATTGAAGAACCTTACCAAGACTCCATTCAATCATTGCAAGATCTTTATTATTGTTATTCGATTTGTTTAATAAATACTCAAAGAAATGTTGTGATTGATTCCATAGACCCATATCACACATCAATCGTCCAAAAAGAATTTCAATATTCAAATCTTCGATTTGTCGATGTGAATCTTTGATATATTTTTCTTTGATAACTTGACCTTCATTTGATGCACTCATATGAATGAACCAAGTACCTTCCTCTATTCTCATTTTCTCCAATCGAAAAGTAACATTCGAATCGAAGAGAATTTCTTGTTGTTCATTACATGGAAATTCGTTGAAATGAACGCTATCAGAAATAATGGCACTATTGTTCAGATGTTTTAGATCACATTGAATCTGTAGAAGAACAGAAATGAGATCAGCTTGTTTCGAAATGTTTAACGCATGTTCCAAGGCAGTTGAACAAAGAATATTTGCTGAGAAAAGACCATTGATCGAAATTAGTTTTCCTTCGTTCTCTTGAAATTTCTCGATCTGATCTTTTGTCATTTTCATTCCTCGATAAGTAAATACTATTTCTTTACCAGACTGAATCATTTTTTCATGTTCCCGAATAAAATTTTCCGTTAAATCTTTCATAAAGTATCGAAATATGTAGAGTTGATCGAAGTCTTTGATTCTTAATGCTTTCTTAATGATTTTGTAAAGAAACGATTTTTTCAAATACCATCGAAGAGCTTCTTCTGATTGGTATTCATTTTCAAATTTTTTAATCGCCTCTAATTCTTTGATATTGTCACGATAATAGAAACGGCATACATCGATCATTTCTTGTTTAGCTTCTTCATCATGAGTTAACTGAACGAGAACATCATGATAAAGTTGAAACCAAATAATATCAGCTGTTTGTTTTGATAGATCTTTAATTAGATGTTCGTCTTGATCGAAGAATCTAAATGTTTGTAAATTTTGATCGAGAAAATCAATTTGTTCTTGGATTGATAAACATAATAAATTGAGTTCATTATAGACACCAATCAATTTTGAATTATCAAGAATTAAATGCTCATAATCGATTTGTTCCCAATTGAAGATAAAGATACTGTCGATTTGAGGTAAATTTTCAAGATGAGATAAAACTTTCAATGTATCGAAAATTGAAGAAACAAAAAAGATTTTTTCATTATCAATCGATTGAATAAAATTAATGCAAGATTCAAGTTGAACTTGACATACAACATAATCGTTGACTTGACGTAATTGTTTCTTTGTTTGTTCTGTCTGATTATTAGATTCCATCTTTGAATCGAACCAAATCAGAGTAATATCTTCCATATTATTTGTTCTATTCATCATTTCGAATGAATTTTTCAGCATCATTGATAAATTTTACAATGGATAATTAATTGAGTAATATAATTGGTAAATCGAAATGTCTAACAAAGACTTCTATAAAAAAGAAAAAAAAGAATAGCCTGTTATTCTTGAAATAATGAAAGAATTTCTAAAACGAAATTCGTCAGTGTTCAGAACATTACTCTAAGTAGTTTTGCTTGAATGAATAAAATAACAATCGAGAAAGATTTCGTCAAAAGAATTATCGTTCGAATTCTCTTATAAACAATCAATCGTTTCTGAGCTTTCACAAGACACTTGAAAAATCGTTCATTTTATGATGTATGTCACTTTTCATAAATCTATTACTATCATATAATGAAGTCACATATCAGAAAAAATTTATAAATAGTCGGAGAGGGCTTGGAGAAAATACCTAAACAATCTTCTGAAAGTCTAAGTTTATAATGATAAAATATTTAAGAAAAAAAAGAAAATATTTTTGTTGAAAGTCGTATATTTAAAAGCAAGAAGAACAAGTCTAGGTGTACGATCATCAGAAACTACAGTTATTTCGAACAATTGCTTAGTTCTAGTATATCTACCAGATTCTGAATTTCAATACAAATACAAAAAAAAAATATTAAAATTAATCTCATTCTGAAAATAAATAATAGATAAAATTTGCTTATCAAATCGAAATATTTAGAATTTGAATAGAAAAATTTGAGAATAAATTAGCAAAATAGAAAAAAAAAGCCATAACAATCGTCTTTGTATGTGAATTTACTTAGCACTTCAAATGCAACTAGTAGAAAGAGTGAGAATATTTATAAACGCTCGTTGATTGCCTACGTGATTCATAGATCATTGAAGGTCATTGACTAATTTTTTCCAACTTACAACTTGTTTATGTATACAAAGAAAGTATATTTTCTTTCACCATGTGAATAAACTACCTAATAGAGATTCGTCACGCCATTGATTCTGTTGCGTTTGTGCACAATGTTTATGCTCTTTTCTACTTTCAGTCTTTTTTTTTTGCTTACCTGTATATGTGCGTCATAGTCTTCTTCAAACACATGATGATGCATGTCTGTGAGCAAAATATTATTGCGAAATTTTGTCGTAAACAAACAAGTTGGAAATCCCAAGTGAATATACGTATTGCGGTTCATCTTGAACTAAGAGTTACTGATGATGAACTGTTCTATTTTCAGCACGCAAAACCTGCATCTGTTTGAAAAATGGAAAAAATCATCAAAGCAGTTTCTTCAGAATCGAAAACAAGTTGAACATTTAGATCAAAAAAAAAGAATTACTCTTAGACCTTCTCTGCAGATTTTTACCCATTTTACTGGAACTTCAGCCTTATAACACGGTATAACTTCAAAACTTAAATGATAATATTTCGATTTGAAATTTACAGGAGGTTCTAGTCATTAATAAATCTTTCTATGAGCAGAAATTGAACTCGATACCGATTTATGTATTGAAACGGTTCTCTCGGAAGTCAATGATAACATCGCAGCGAATAATCTATGACGATTTGAATTTTATTTAAAACAAACCAATCGCTTATGTTGAATACCCAACTGATTGATTGATTTTCAATTTGTTAAAATAGCTCAAATATGAAAAGAGAATTTCAATAACGACTAAGATCATGATTTCAATCAAAATTATTCTTTTTTTCCTATTCTTTCTCCACTACCTGGATCAGAATGAACGTTTCATTGGTTTGATCGAAACGACTCCCTGAAACTTGGTAATGTAACATTTACTCTGTGTCTTGAATTATTGTATAATATTTGTTCGAAAATTAGTTTTCTTTTTTTCTCATAGAAGAAAAAAGATAATCATGGTATAAGTACAATACAAATGGAAAAACAATACTCATCACAATTACGAATGCTTGTAGAACTATAATCGTGCAATACCAAATATGATCTTAGTCGTTATTGAAATTCTCTTTTCATATTTGAGCTATTTTAACAAATTGAAAATCAATCAATCAGTTGGGTATTCAACATAAGCGATTGGTTTGTTTTAAATAAAATTCAAATCGTCATAGATNAGGTGATTGGCATAAAAAGCATGAATCCATATAATTGTAACTTTGAAAAATATTCAATATCTCGAGATTTATAATAGTGTACTAAGGTCTATTGATCTAGATATAACAAGCTTTTTATTATATTTGTTACTATTTATAAATTTAGGATACAATCGGTATGATCTATATGAAATAGAAATTTGTCATCGAGTTATTTTTGGCATATGACTTCAACAAAATCAAAAACTTATTCACCAAAAGAATCCAATGAAAATAAAAATCTCTCAATAAATAAAGACCTTAAGGAAAACAAAGAAAATATAACTATTATTTATTTCGATGTAAAATCAAACAAAAAGACAGTCCACCGATTTAATAGGTTTCGAGAAATCAACGACTATGTACTCAAGTATACAGACATTGACGAATGTATTACTCGTACGCAAACAATCAAAAAAGAAAAAATTATTTTCGTTACTACTGGGAAGAATTTAGCCAATATTTTCTCTCGCATAGAAAACATTCGACAAATCGACGGGATATTTGTTTTCTCAAGCAAAATAAAGAAATACGATCAATTCAAGCACAAGATTACTGGCATTTTTTCCAATAATGATGATATGATCGCTGCAATACATAAGCACATGAAAATAATTGAAGATCAACTTCAATCTTTTAGTTTCTGCCGTCGGTATCAACGTTACGTTCGCAAATTGACTGATACTTCTGCAGAATTTCTTTGGTTTCATATTTTCAAACACGTTGTTATTCGGTTACCACATGATGAATATGCTAAACAAGAAACGTTAGACGCATCAAGACATTACTATCGTAAAAATATTCAAGAATTAAAACGTATTGATGATTTTGAACAAGTCTTTCGATCTGAAGAAGCCATAAAATGGTATACAAAAAATTCTTTTGTCTATCGTTTAATTAACAAAGCATTAAGAACAGAAGATGTCGAACAAATGTACACACTTCGATACTTTATTCAAGATTTATGTTGCGCACTCGTTATCAAACATAAGATTTTTAAAGAATATGGTGAACCGGTCACGGTCTATCGTGGTCTTCGATTGACTCAATCCGAATTTGATGAACTTACAAAGGATGAACAACAATTAGTATCTATGAATGGTTATCTATCGACAAGTCTCAATAGACAAGTGGCCGAAATCTATGCCGGGGTACCAATATCAACATCTGATAAATTATCAGTCTTACTCGAAATAGAATGTGATGTAGAAAGCTTAGGTGATAAAGTTATTTTTGCTGATGTTACATCGGAAAGTAATTTTCGAGATGAAAATGAAGTTTTGTTTGACATTGGTGCAACATTTCAATTAACAATTGCACCAAAACAAAATGATAATGGTGTATGGTATTTAACAATGATTGCAACGGATGAAGGTCGAACACTTGTACAAAAATACATCGATGATCATCTCGAACTTACTACAGAGATAAGCGCAAAAATCATGTTCGGTGTATTATTGTATGACATGGGAAAATATGATTCATCACTGGCGTACTTTGACAATCTCATTGCAAATCGTGAAGGTGAGGACGCTACTTTGATTCATATACATATGGCTAGAGCATTGGGCATGCGAGGTGATAAGAGCAACCAATGGAAACATTATGAAAGTGCGTACAAAATACTCATCGAAGCAGAACCAAAACGTTTGGAAGACGAAGCTTGTCTTCTCATTGAGATGGGTATTTTTTATTTTGATAGAGATGAAAACGATCGGGCACTGGAATACATGATGCATGGACTTCGCATATTCGAAGAAGTTTATGGCAACACAAATGTAGAAGTCGCTCGGGCTTTACTTTACATCGGCGGATGCTATGAACAAAAAGGTGATTATAATCGAGCTATAGAATTCGATAATCGAGCATTAAAAATGCATGAAGAATGCGCAAGTCCGAATCACATAAT